TTTGAGAGTATTCTTTGATCAATTCTAAGACATTTTTATTCTTTGACAATTTTCATTAAACTCAATAGTTTTCGAGAAAAAAAATAAGTAACGATTTTTATAAAATTTTTACATTTTCGCCGCCATTTTGTAAAAAAGAGTGGTTAAATGTTTATTATAAAAATTTCCTGTTAAACTTCAAGTAGTTTGTCCACCATTGGCCATAGTTTTAAGATGAATCCTTTGCAATAACATTGCGAAAAAAAATCGAGAAAAAATTTTTTTCGAAAATTTTCACGTTTTTCACGCTTAAATCGGCCATATTTTTTTTTCTTGAGGTCTAATCGTGATTTTGACTACGGATTCTGCATACGGAAAGAGCATAAAATTTTACGTTGGAATATAGTCATTGCAAATTTTTTTCAGACCGATAACACACGAAATAATCGTGTCGAAAACTTAGTAAAAATTCAGAAAGATTGGGCGTTAATGGGTTAAGCTGGCCACACACACTTTCCGTAACAGTAACCGTAAGACGTAACGTAAAAATTGAACAATTATCGAGTATTCACAAAAATGGCGACCTTACAATTCGACGATTCTCAACATGATTGGTCAGTTCTTACGTTACGTCTTACGGTTACCGTTCCGGAAAATGTGTGTGGCCAGCTTTAATCGCTCATTACATGTGGGAAGAAGATAGAATGACGCTTACAGCGCATAAACGCCCAAAGCGAACGCAGCCTAAATCGTATCCATATCCGAAGAATCACGCGCGCCAACATTTTTTCGTTCCTCCCGAAGAGAAAAAGACAAAAGACGCCCGTCCTCTCGCCGTTAATTATACGTTATCACGAAACACAGCGCGAATATGCATTGTTTCAAACATTTCGCGGAATTCCCCGCGTGACTGCGCGAGCTTCTTTCGGAATAAATCATAAATAGCCCGGATACGGCGACAGCTGTTAGACACTTATTTATCCTTTCTCTCTCTCTCTCTCTTTCTCTCTCTCTCTTTCTTTCACGTCTATTTTTGCCGTTGCAACCGCAATATTATTTTTAACGTTTTACAAATAGCATTTGTAATTTTACCGTGGTTGCAGTCTGATCGATCGCCGTGGGAAAAAATGCCTCTCCATCAGCTGAAGAGAAAAAAGATAGAGAGAGAGAGGAGGGGGAGGAAGTGCAATTTCGAAAATTGATGGTGTAATAACGCCGGATTACTTGGCACTGTGCGCATACGAGCGATAATTTCCTTCCTCTCCTCTCTCTCTTATTAGCTGACTCGGGAAATTTCGTCGATTTTGATTCTGCTCGGTGTAATACGGCTGCATTTCGCGTTCATTAAAATTAATTGTTGCGCGCTATGCGAGCGCGATATTAACGTATTGATAACGGGAAGAGAGGGGAGGGGGGCGGGACGGGCACTGCGCGAAATGCAGCGAGTTTCGTGGCGAAATTATTATTGTTATTAGTAAGTAACTCAATAGGGGAGGAGCGCACACACACACACACACACACACACACACACACACACACACACACACACACACACACACACACACACACACACACACACACACACACACACACACACACACACACACACACACACACACACACACACACACACACACACACACACACACACACACACACACACACACACACACACACACACACACACACACACACACACACACACACACACACACACACACACACACACACACACACACACACACACACACACACACACACACACACACACACACACACACACACACACACACACACACACACACACACACACACACACACACACACACACACACACACACACACACACACACACACACACACACACACACACACACACACACACACACGTACACACGGATTGTAAATACGGATACAGGCGGATAAAGTACATGTACACAATGTGATGTAAACGTGAGGCAAAAGAGAGGAAATCGAAAGAAGCTGGCATTATCACAAAAGGTAGAAAAATAAAAGGAAGAGACACACATTCTCGCGCGTGTCGCAAAAACATTGCGCATGCATCGTATTATCGTATCATCCGCGCGACACGAAGGAAAAAAGAGAGCGTCGTCTTTCACTTGCCAGGCTAGGTAGACAAGCGTGTATACACATAGACATGTTATCATGAACTGTTACGTACACCATTACGACGGACGGCGACACCGACACGTAACACCTTTTGAACAGAGGTTTATCGCCATGCAAGCGCGACGCAGCGGCCTATGTCAGAGAGCATAGATTTTCGCGGACCTGCGCAGCTGAATCTTCAAAAAATTAGTACTCCCCATTGCGACTCCTCGGTGACGTGCCACGCCACAAACAATGATTTGGGTGAGGATGATGCGGTGCCGGATGACGCATGTATCAAAATTCCAAAGTGAGAGGTGTGAGCAAGGAGGTTTTCTTGTAGGGACGACTCAGGCTTGATATTGGCTAACTATAATAGTTCTAAGCTTGAGATTCTCGTTTATGCAATTTTCGTTTCGCGAAAACACTGAGCGAGAGGGACAATTGGTCTCACATGCAGAGCAATTTTCAAGATGTGTTCAAGGCGCAAAGTATCTTGCGTGAAAGTTTGCGTCGAAGACGAGTCGACGTCAGGTGTTGTGTGTGCATGTGTGTGTGTGTGTGTAGGTGTCTGGCTGTTGTAGGTGAATATGAAAAAGAGAATAAGAGCGGTGATATATACTCGTCGCAAGTTAAATACGATATACTACGTGTACATAGATATCTTGAGAGCAACCAAATAAGCGAAGAGAACACTTACCATAAGACTGGCTATGGCAACCAAACAAATGAAGATCATAGATGAAAAGATGGCAGCGGCTATTGCGCTTTCGGAACCCGTTTCCTGTACCAGCACAAACTTGACTATCTGCAAAAGGGACAAGTAGCACGGAGGAATACAGACATAATACAGATTTATTCTCGAGCCGATCGTTCCGCCGTTTAGTCGAAGAGATACGACTTAAATTACTCCCGGTACGCGAGACGCGTCGACCGATCGATCGCCCTTTACAAAAGAGAGGTGCATCGCACGGAGAGAGGTTTTTAACGATGTACTCGCGAGCTTTCTGCAGCGAACGGTTCGCGCTCGATTGTCGGCTCGGGAGTTCTGCACGAGTTAAATTCCAACGAGATCAACAGAGCCAAAAGTTATAATAGAGTTCCGCTGATTTCCTCGGCTGGACCGACTCGTTATCGCGCTCGCGTTCTAATCCGTGCGCCCGCCACTTCCCACGTCATTTTCAACTTACTTTCACTGGAAACAACGTGTTGGTCACCTTGTACAAACTTGGCATGTTCTTTGTCATAGCGGCGTTGAACTTGCCGTCCTCGTCGATAACGTAAACCAAAATAGACGTCAGGGGAATGTCCGTGGATGTCGGTAACGAGCTCGTCGGCTCGTAACAAGGGTTCTTGTGGATGACAATTTGTTTACAGAAGACGAGCCTGTAAAACCAAGTATCGTACTGGTGTATATATAATACGTAACGAGCGCACTGCCGGCTAAACACACTTTCAATGACGGTGTGAGCGACGCGACGTTCTCGAACGCCGAGCAAATTCATCGTTAAAATATTCATTAAAACAAAATTCGTTTCCTACGCTGCGAGTTCAAAAGAATGTGTTTCCAATGTGTTTGACTGCCAATATAATATCACTTTGAGCGTCGAATATCTATATTTATCGAATATCTATATCTATATTTAGCGTACTGTTACCACACAGATCAGTCATTATATCCAAATAAGGATATAAAATTTTAATCAATATTTAATCGAGGTAATATAACATAAGGAGCTGTAAAAGCCCTACTTTTTTCCTTACTATAATATTATACAGTGTTTCTAAAGTCAGTTACCGCTCCCATTATTTCGGAAACAGTTCAAAATTTTGAAAAATCGCGAAACATTCAATTATTTCAGGGAGCTACTTTTTTAAGAGAATGTGAAGAGTCATAACCGAAGGGGTACAAGAGAGATACCCAACTTCAAAATTTTTAATAGAACTCCCATTTTTTATTGCATTTATTATTTTTTATTGCATATTCTTATAGCTTATGTCGAGAACTTTTCAAAACACTATAATAAAGTATATCTTGATAATAATCAACGCAGTCACCGAGCAAATAACACTTACAAAAACTACACGGAAAAAAAAGATTTGCTAATATATGGACAACTAAAAATATTAACTGTGTGTGCAAGAACAAATTTTCTCGCTTTTATAGCAAAGTTATTTAGTTGTGATAGTTAAAAGATTTGCATATATATATATATATATATATATATATATATATATATATTAGCAAATCTTTTAGCTATCACAACTAAATAACTTTGCTATGAAAGCGACAAAATTTGCTCCTGCACAGTTAATATTTTTAGTTTCCTATATATTAGCAAATCTTTTTTTTCCGTGTACAAATTGAAAGTCAAATTATCAACTCCATTGGTATTACTAGGATATTACTAGAAAGAGATTCCGGCCATTTAAGCTTTGAAGCATTCGCCTCGCCGCGCCGTTCGTATGCGCGCACGGAGAAAAATAATTTTGCTCTTTTAGCAAAATCGTCGTTGCTACTACATATTCGTAGTGACAACAAAAAAACTTAATTGACGTAAGTAATTTTACAAATTACTCGTTATCAAAGCAGAAATAGTTTCGTTGACATACAAAAAATTTGTTGAGTGTATTTGTCCTAAGAATTACGTTAATTTGCTATCAATGCAAAATAATGTATCCTTAGCAAATTTATTTGCTATCGGAGAAAAACTGCAACTGCTTATATAAATCCATCATGGTTCTTACAGCAAAATAATTTGTAGATTCAGCAAATTATATCCAGCAAATAGTGATTAGTACTTTTAGCAAATCTTTTCGCTGTTCACATAATAACGAAAAGATTTTGCTAGACTTTGCTGGGCCAGCAAATTATTTTTCTCCGTGCGCATATCGAAACATGCTGTTGACTTTCAAGCCTGATAACTCAAAAAGTACTTAACCAAAAAAATACTTTATTATAGTGTTTTGAAAAGCTGTCGAGATAAGCTATAAGAATATGCAATAAAAAATAGGGAATTCCATTTAAAATTTTAAAATTAGGTGCCTTCCTTGTATCCCTCTGAGAGGGAGGGGGAGGCGACTTCTCACTTAAAAAAGTAGCATCCTGAAATAATTGAACACGTGTTTCGCGATTTTTCGGAATTTTAAACCGTTTCTGAAATAATGAGGATGGTAACTGATTTTAGAAACACTCTATATATTATAAGCCTCTAATTTTATCTTGATTATATATATCAGAGCGATTAATTTCTGATATTTAACTTAATATTAAAATCAGATACATTCGTGGAATATAACATGAAAAAACTGCAATTTTTGGTCGTACAAATAATTTTTATTTATCAACCTAAAATACCCGCGCTCTTTCTAAATTTCAGGAGCGAAATCTCACTCGAAAAACAGAATGCGCACCGGGTCATTCCAATTGACGGAAATATTCGTTTAGATAAAATTATAATCCATTCTAAGCTTGAGCGAAATATTCACTTTGGCGATTTTAAGTGGCAGTATCTGCAATATCGAGTAAAAATATTGTGACTTTTTACTTGTTTTGAGTGAGACTCTGCTCCAAGAACTTTAGAGAATAATTGGTAAGAAAAGAGCATAAGTTAAAATTAAATGAAATTAGAAGAGAAAATCAGATAGAAAATTTGCTAAAGTTTTATTTAGGATTGACAGCGAATATCTTGTTGCCAATTTCTTAAATTTGTCTGTAGAAGTTTTAAATCCCAACGTCTTTTACAATCTTCCACACTCTCTAAATTTCTCGGAGTGAAATTTCATTCGAAAAGTGGAGTGAGCGTCGAGTCACTCGAATTGCAGTAATTTTTCGCTCGTATAGAGAGAGAAATAAATTCTTCACTATGAATTATCGAGTGAATACTTTCACTCGAAGCTGAAGAGTGAATCTGATGTGCCTCACTATTCCAGGAACACATGTTCGATCTAAACGATTGAAACACTCGTTCATACAGAGTCAAAATCCACTCTAAGCTAAGTGAAAGCTTCACTCTTGTGATTCAATTCGACTGGCATATTAGATATTTTCTATATCGCTTTGAATGAAAATGCCGTTACTTTTCGCTTTAATATGAGTCAGACTCTACCTTTAAGAAATTCACAGTACAAACTTACTTGTTCATGCCGCTTGTCAGCATCATCGCGAGTGCATTCTTCAGTTCCAGCATACGAGGACAGATCTCTTGCGGACTGCCTTCTATAACTATATTCACCAGCAACGTGATCTCGTCCTGAAACGACCGGATATCCGCCGTGACGTCCTTGTCGGGCGGTTCCGAGCTATTCGGAGTGTTTCCGAAAACTTCTGGTTCCAAAGTGCTTATAGAAGTGGGAGGAACCGAATGGCTCTTCATAATATTCTTCATAACATCAGGTGGGACCGTGACAATCGGTTTCGGCGGAAGTTCCGTCGCGCCCGGGGCGACTGTCAACGTGACATTCGCGTCGAGACTCGAGTTCTTAGATGCCGAAGGGTCATCGGTGACGCCGAGGATTCCAATCTCAGTCATAGCAGCGGTAAAATCGATCACGTTCGTAGTAACTTCATTCTTCATAAATTCTGTGCTCTGTTCTTTGACGGGAAGCTCAGTGACCGTGGGAAGGACTTCATCAGTGTTGTTCGCCGTGATCGATGATATCGGTTCCGTCGTCGGGATCTCGTGCTCGCTCGTCGTTGGAAGCTCCGTGAAGTCCTCGAGTTTCGCCGTCATGGTGGGCGCCTCTTCCGCTGAGCTGTTCTTCGTAGAGGAGGAATACGGAGTTGTCAATCTCGGGGTCGTGATTCTCATCGGTATCGTTTGCTCCTTGAAAGTCCGCTCCGCGGTGCTCTTCTCGGTGGTGTTCGAAGAGATCGCCTCCGTGAGACCGACGAACTCGAATTCAATGGATGTGGTGGTCGGCACTGACGATTCGTCAGGGTTCAAGGTAGTAGGTGCGGTCTCGTCACTGTGGTTCGCCAGAGGCTGCAGCGTCGCGTGCGCCTTCAGCGTCAACTTCGTATTCTCGACAGTCGCCGCGGCGGGAGTTGACATGATGCCTTTCGCCGGCGGCGTCGAGGGAATCGTGAATTGGTTCGGCCCGGTCGCAGTGTCCTTGTCCAAAGGGACTCTCGTGGAATCGGCAACGACGATAGTTGAGCGATTCATCATAGCCTCCTCGGATTGTGTCTGGATGTCCGTATTGAGAGAGAACACTCTCGTGATTGGCGTCTCCGTGGAGCGCGCTAGCAATGGCGTTGTCGCTTTGACAGGACGTGGTATCACCTCCATGCCGTCGTTTTCGGGCAAACTGATTTCCGTTATTCCCTTCCCGGTCACATCGTGGTCCTCGTCTGTACTTGCGATTGCTTTCTCCCCCGATTTCGCAGTCGAGGCGTCATCGTTCTGTTCCGCTCTCGAGTCCTTCTTTTCCATGGACTTTACACCGCTGTTCGACTTATCCGGGAAAGTCTCGTTCGTCGGCCTGATTTCGTCCATTATTGGTATTACTGTTGTAATCGCTGCGGAGGAGCTCTCCGTGGTGATGTTCGCGGAGCCTTCGTTCAAACCCTTCTCGTCCGGCTTCTGCTGTTGGATGCTGTTCTCGAGCACGACAGAAGCCTCGGTGACGATAGACTTCTTCCCCGACTCTTCTCTGCTGATAGTGTTCTCGTAAGCCGACGTTTCTTCAGCGACGTCGCCGCTGCTGTTCCTCGGTTTCGGACTTGTCGTTTCTGTCGTCATCTCCAGCGATCTCACGGACTCCACGTGCAGATAAGGCTTCGGAGTTATCATTTTCGTGCTCTGTATAGCCGGCGCTGTCCCGAATATAGTATCTATCCTCGTCGTAGTCGTAGATTTCACCTCGACGCTCGGGAACTCGTTAACCCCAGAAAATTCGATGGTTCTGCCTTGCGGAATCGGACTAGGAATTACTCTGGAAGTGGTCTGCTCTTCGGGCTGAGCGCTCAGAGTCGTCGTTTCGAGCGACCTCACCTGGGACTCAGGTTTGTCTATCGATTTCCGCTCTCCCGTGTCGTCGTCCGCGCTCTTGATGCTTGCGTTGAATACCTTTTGTTCCTCATCATCTTTGTCTCCAGTGACGGTCACCTTTCCTCTTTTGTAGACGACCTCTGTCTGTCCGTTGCCAACTTCATTCGTATGAGAATGGTTTGCTGCAGTGTTGTTCGTATCTATAATCTTCAATATCGGCTGATGAGTCACATTCTCGACGACCTCCACCTCTTCTTTCGGGTCGCCTTTGCTGCGCGATCCGTCCACGTCAGCGACCTGATCTCTCGCGTTGTCTCTGGACTCCTTTTCCGCCTGTGGCTTGTAGTTCACGTAGGTGTCATTAATTAGGGAGACGGCTCGTCTCTTCCCATCGGTCTTCTCCAAATCAAACGCTTCGGATGCCGTCGTGGCGGAATCGAGCGCGTCTTCCTTGCTTTCCGAGACGTCTTCATGCTGAACACCGCGCATCGTGGTTAATTCTCGATCATGGCTCTTCAATTGCCAATCCTCCACATCCTTTCGATCCGTAAAGTTGGCCAAGGTCGAATTCTTGTCTTTCCTCGATTCGAGCTTTGGGATGACTTCCTTGTGATCGGACTTGTTAGCTTTGCCATTCTTCTCGGATTTCGCAGTCTTTTCCGTCGATTTCGGGAACGTCGAGGAGGAATCTTCTATAGACGCGACGGTCATTATTTCCTCCGTCATCAAGTTCTTCTTGTCCTCAGAGTGAACGAGCAACTCCTGCGGAAGTGTATGATTCCCAGACGTCGTTTCTACGTTGGTATCCTGCTTGAACTCTAGATTTTCCTTACTGCTCGTGTTTAATATCCCGTCGATGAGTTTCTCCTTCGTGCTTGGCGACACGGTCTTGGCCAATATTCCTTCATGGTCGGGAGATTCTTCATGCGTGGCGTTCTCCGAGTTTTTTTTGTTGTCCTGCTTGGAGTCTTTCGGCTTCGTGGTCGTAACAGTCAGTTCATTTGTCCTAGAGAGCTTGAGAGGTCTCTCGGAGACAGCGTTCGTGCTCTTGCCGGAGCTTTCAGCTGAAATTTCTCCATACTTTTTACTACTATCCGCGCTCTCGATTTCTTCAGTCGAGCTGCCCGCCTGAGAACTCGCGTGTGTCTCATGGTGTGACACCGGTACATCGCTTTTCCCCTCATTCTGACTTTCGTCAGGGTCGACCCTGTCCCGCGATCCATTCTCCCCGTCGTGAGCTGTTCTACTCGTCAGTTCGACATTTTGCCTATCCTTTTCTCCGATCGACTTATTGCTCGGTGAGATTCTTGTCAAGATCGTCGTGGCTCCCTGGGGAGTCGGCGTTACCTGGGAATCAAATTTGCCCGGCGGCACAATCGGTACTGCTGTAACTTGCTGTAATGGATCGCCGAAGAGCAGCAGCAAAGTCCCTGAAACAGCCAAGTTTCATCCTGTTATCTTACACCTGTACTCATCAGCCGTTCCGAAGGCACAATGGGTCTTTGTGTTTGCCTGTGCTTGCCCGCTGTACAAATGCTCCTCTCCTTCAGGTGCATAATGACTCATTTGAATCGGAGTCTTTCGCAAGACGCCGCTACTCCCAAAACACTCTTTGCATACGCGGAAACATTCCCACTGTCGCGACGACTCCGACGCGTAACACTCATCGTCTGCCATTCTCCTCGGCCCCGTGCGATCCTAATTGCAATGTTTGACAATGGAACGGCGAGTTACAGGAGCTGACGATATAGCAAGCACACCGGTAATAAGCGCGCGTGTACGTGGATCAGAAGTCGCGGCCGCGCCGATAACGACGACGACGACGACTGGTTCCCGCGTGGCGTGCGTGCGTGCGTTCGCGCGGCGCAATAAAAATGTAGATGCGGCGAGCGTAGATGAGACATTTAATGGATCGAAAAACCGGTTGTCCGTGGAATTACCGACGGCTCGCTACGGCGCTGTATTCGCGCGCTTCCGCGAAATACAGTTCGCGTTCTGCACGGAGGAACTGCAAGCGTGCGTTTGAATATTAAGCAGACCTCGGAATTATGCAAAGAATTTCGAGTGTGTCCTCGTGTCGATCTATGTCGATACACGATTCCTCTCTCTCTCGCTCTCTCTCTCTCTCCCTTCTCCCTCTCTTCTCTCTCCCTCTCTTCCTCCCACCTTTCCTCTCTCTCCCTTCCTACCTCTCTCTTCCTCCTGGAGCGTCGAAGCCGAGGTAAATATTTATTTTATCGAGGCGGATCCGCAGTAAAAATTTTCCACATCTGATTTCCACCTCTTGAATACATCTATCCGCCACGTTTGCAGCTCGGATGCTGTAGATTTCATGCGCGAGCTATCGATCTCCGCCGAGCCTGTTTACGAAAATAATAAATCGCCGTTTTCCGCTATTTGTGCATGTTACGCCCTTAATTTCGCACTCGTTATACTCGAATAAAATATCGAACAAATTCCAAAGCGGTTTACAGCTTAAGCTCACTTATCGCACACACACACACACACGGTGGAAATATCGCGCAGTAAAAGTTCCGCGAAAGAGCGCTCGCACAACGTTCGCGCGTTCGAATGTTATTAACATCGTCAACAGATTATCTTGTTAATAGAGTTTTTCCGCAGTTATAGCCGCGCTGCAATACGTCCCGGAAAATAGCCGTTAAGTAGCGCATGCGATGTTTATATAAAGAGGTATTTTGTACAATAAAGCCATACTGCTACAGCAGTATTTATTCAAAAAGGTGTTTCATCGATCACACGTTCATCTCATATCTATGCCGTTCGAAATAATTAAACTCTGACGCGTGTTACGGTTTTATGATTATCTGTTAAACACTTACTGATCCTCTGTTATGATAATTGGAACGAGCAACGATTGTATTTATTTGCAAGCTCGAAGCTTTTGCAACTAATCATTGTCGCAAAGTATCTTATATCTTGATTATTTTTTAATATTTTTCAAAATTGTTTTCATAAAATGTTCATCAAACTACCCAGACAACATAATATCTAAAATCGGGACATAAAACGTTTTAAAGATAATCTTCAAAATGCCTTAAAGACATTTATACGTAAATCGTCTGAAAGACACTTTGAAGATGATCTTTAAGACGTCTTATGTCCCGATTTTAGACATTATATTGTCTGGGTATGTACTAAGCATTGTAAATAAAGAAAATTACTTATGATTTGTAGCCGTGTTGGAAAAAATAAGTGATTTATAAGGTTCAGCGCCTCAGGATAGTTCAATTCAATTAGACTTTTTCTCCGTATGTCTAGACAAAAATTAATAAAAATTAACTAAATTATGAGTAACGACGGCATTAGCGATAAAATGCCAAATGATTGCCGACGTCTTCATTACTGACATGTAGAATTAAGAAAAAATGTTAATTTAATTTTCTCGCTTTAAATTTTAATTATCCGCAGTTAAGAAAAAATAAATCTGTCATTAAAATAATTGTCAATTGCATCACCGGTTTAATCACGCTAAATTTGCAAGCATTAATCCCTAGCCAATTAAGCAAATTCACCGAGTTCCTAGTGGGGCACCGGACTTTAGTTGGAAATTCTTGACCCACGACTCACAACTGTAAGTGCACAGCGAAATTTCGTTTGCTGAATTTTTGGGATTTTTCGTTTCGGCCAGATCGGCAGGCGAGTCGTATATACGCGTTCACCTCAAACGAAAAGAGGCCAAACGCGTCGGTCAAGGCGCGGGACAGAAAATTTTGTTAAGCCGCGAGTTACAGTTAACTCACTGGCCGGGCGCGTTGAAGTAAACCTAACAGTACTTGGTGCAGTCACCTCGATTGGCGGGCTTTACATCACGAACTCACAATGCAACAGGATGCAGCCCAGAAGTGCTAGTCCATTCTGCTCAACGGTGATGCTGCCGCGCGGCCCGAAATAAAAATGTTTGCGCGTATAATTCGCTTAAAGCACCAAGTTCTTTCTTCCCCTCTTTCTTTCTCGTCGGCACCGATACGCTGCCGATATGGATTACACGAGCCAACATGTATTTTTCATGCATTACAAAAGGAAAGGGGAAAAATCTTGCGGAGTTGTTCTTTCCTCTCCTTTCTTTCCCTTTCCCGTCTTGCAACTGCGACTCACCTATGCATACTCCCAGTGCAGGAGTCATTCTTGTGCCGGTCATTTCTGTATGTAGATTCTGTCTCGTTCGATTTCTGCAACATAAACCGTACAATTTTATTCAATTTCGTTTTCATATTTGCACAAATAAAACATGGGCTTATAAGTTTCATATATATAATGAGAAATCGTGTAGGGTAAACTCGGATAAGTTGGCCATACTTTTTTAAAATGCAAAAAAAATACATTTCTTATTGTTATTTCTTAATAGCGTTTGGCATATTACTTTACTGAAGCCTACAGTACATAATACCATCAAAGTAAAAAGGAAAATACTTCAGTTAAATTATTTATTACAAAAATATCAAAACATGAGCATTGGCCATCTTACCTAAATGTTTAAGACAAGATGGCCATAAGAAATAGATGACCCATACATATTTTATGTTCAAGATTCTGCACCTATTATTCTATAAAATAATGAAAAAAACATAATTTGACATATTCATTTTAGTATAGGATATTTAATACATACTATTTGTGAAAAATATAATTTACATGTAAAACAGAAACCTCTATTACAAAACTTAAATTCTAAATCCAATTTTTGATCAAAATATATTGCATAAGATTTAATTACTGTAATATTGAAAATAATTTTTGAAATATAACGATTTTTTTATTTATAAATGTTAGAATAATAGTGATCTTATCATTTTACCCAAAATGTGAGTGAAAGACGGTTATGATAGTACTTAAAACAAATAGTAAAAACGAAAATAAAAATGCATGTTATATTACAATTTACATACCTACTTTATGTATCTAACGTTGATTGCGATAGCTTAACTGTAATTTATTCGATGTTACAGCAAGTTTTAGTGGATACATGAGAAATTTTACAAGTAGTCGAAAATAAAAATATAATATAATATTCATAATCTTGCTATTTCAAAAAATGTACGCACATATAATATAATATTCATAATCTTGCTATTTCGAAAAATGTACGCACATACACTACGATAAATATCTTTGTGACTGATTACACAAACGCAATGTTTTGCAATTATTAAAGAAATTACAACCTATGGCCATCTTTCCGATATGGCCATCATATTCGAGTTTACCCTAATATTCATAAATTCTCTCTCTCTCTCTCTCTCTCTCTCTCTCTCTCTCTCTCTCTCTCACTATTAATAAAATAACATATATGAAATATTTATGCAAAAAGAATCTTTCAGTAAATATTCCCGGTCACGTTGATGCTATCAACGTGCGAAGATGACATATGAGCTGCTGAAATGAAAATTCTAAAAAAAGTGCCGGCTGTGAAAACGGATGCAGTTTGCTGTGCTTGTATGTGTATACGTGCAAGTATGATTTTCAACATTATGAGGATGACCTCGTTTACGAGCCTGTTCACCTTAGGGAGTATAACATAAAACTCCGCAATGCAGCGCCGGAAGCTTTATTAAAAGTTTTTATTTCGTATTTGTGGCGCGCGCGCGAGCGATATGACGTCAGTCAAGGATTATCGAGTACGAATCTCTTAATGATTCGTCCTCGTCAATGTCTTCGGCTTTGAACGTTCGCTAAAAATCACTCATTAACGTTCAAATCCAATTTCATAGAAAAGACGATACGTGCACGGAGAAAATTTTACGGTAAAAATGATCAGAATTTCGTAACTTAGAAGCAGACCGCATTTCGCAATAATTTATCTTTCTACATTTCATATGTGCTATTTATATTTTAGGAATCATGAAACGCGTGGCATTAAAAAATGTTCTATGTTTATGTGGGATTTGCTGTGTTTTTCAGCAAGGTGGGCTTTATTGATAATCTATACCTGCACTGCTGGAAACATATAATAAAACTAAGAAAAAACTTACAAGGAAAGACACGATTGCCATGAAATATGACACGCCACAGGTCGATTGTTGCAATGCAAAATTGCGCAATTAATCGAAAATGAGGGCTCTCAGATTATTAACCCAATTTAAACGCAACTAATATCTAGGAGAACTCGATATCGGCTCTCATGATACCTTCGTGCTGAATTTGAATTGTGAATAACACAGCATCGGTATATAATTCAAAGCGTGATTCCGAACGTCTCGCGAAAGCGACTCGCCGATTGTTGACGCAAAAGAAACGAAATCGTGCGCGCCCAAGCCTGATAGCAATTATTCAGTTTCCATAATATGTAGGCTGATGCATTCCGTTGCTGCTTAACGCCTCGTTTGCTGCACGAACGCGCCCATCGGCCACGGACCTCACGTCAAATCTCGCGCTTTTGTTGAGCGCGTACCGGCGCCTCTAATTGTAGAAAGTAATCGTAGAAAGTGCATAATACACACGCTTACCCCCGCGCACAAACACCTACAGCGGTGCAGTCTCGTTGAAGGCCTCGTCGCGCTCGTGATTCGATTTTCTTCAGCTGCGCGATCCGATAAGGATTCAACTACGAGGGAATCCGCATTAATGTAACGGTGCGACTACGCCGAGAAAGAGAGAGAGAGAGAGAGAGAGAGAGAGAGAGAGAGAGAGAAACGATCTTATTTTCGCCGGTTTTTCCTCACGAGCCATAAACCGCGTCATTTTTTCGGCTTAACTTACTCGAACGAACGTGACTCTATCTCACGGCTACCGCTTTAGCCCATAAACCCCTTATTCTGTTCTATGAACCTTATATTCCGGGACATGTTGCAGTACACAAGCTCGCAAACACGGTAGCCCGCACACCGAGTTTCCTCGTCAGCTCGGCGCGAAATCACTTGAGAGAGCGTGTTCAAAATATCTATTAAATCCCTTGGATAAGTTCACGGCGCTGTGTCGAATAGTCGTATAAGCGACGCTTTATAAAACGTCGTCGACAATTGGGAAGAAAACGTAACGTGGGTCCGCGCCACAGTCGTAATAAGGCCCCTGTTTTTATCATGGTGTACGCACAGTTAACGGTCCGTGTGATTGACGGGTCCGTTCGTACAGCAGCCTATGGGTTTCAAACAAATTTACGCCTTAATTGGCAAGGCGCTCTGAATATGGCGTGGAAAAATCGCCGCGCAATCGATCGTTCTACACGTGAATGGATTCTTAATCGCAGAAATTTTTAAACGCGCGCGTATGTTTACGTTTTGGGCTAATTGTGTTGGGGCAGCACATGTCTTTATGAAGGATTCACATCGCGTCCGGCATCCAACGTACGGTGTACAATAACCAATAGGAGAATTAATTTCCTAAAGACAAAAATGTCGCTAACTAGAAACTCTATTATTGAATATTGAATCATTATACATACGTTAGATGTCGGATGCGATGGGAATCAATCCTGCATCAATCCTGTATCATCCTGTATCAATAGTTGTTACTTGAAACTAGTCCTACGTGAGACCATGGATGTAAGAAATAACAGAAGGGAATGTGAAGCTTTTTAGGTCGTGAGAGTAAGTATGCTATGTGGTTGGTTGGCCACAGTAATATCGCGTTTTGTACTTTATTGTTGTGCTTGATAGGCCACACCAGTATGGGTCATACTTCTTATGTCTGCTTAGACAAGCCAAAGGAGGAATATCCTCCCTACTGTTATTTCTTACCTCCATACGTGAGACACTCAGAAAGAAGATCTGAATGCATATTTAGATCTGAGATTTTATTTGAATTGTATGTTTGTTAATTTAAGTTCTGAGTTTTTTAATTTAAGTTTTTTATTTGAAATATATGCGTTACATTTGTAATCACAATTCGACTGAAAAACTCACATCTAACTCTCAACTAGAATCTGAGTATCTCACCAGAGACAAGTTTCAAGTAATGACCATTAATATAGATCTGTCTTTTAGGTATTTGTGTTTTTATTCCTGGATGATTACACGAACGGTTCATAACTATCAGAATTCCGTTTGCAAGATAAATTGAACTTCAAACATAATTTACAATATTTTCTACTGCTACATAACTTGTATGTCTTGAGCAAGTTGTAAGGCAACGGAACGTCTATCCGTGGAGCTTTTGACTGAGCTTTTAGTCTTCTCCTATAGTTGCAATCGATTCTTTTACGAAGACACAGCTTGCCAGAGAAATTTTCTCGTTTTTGATGTCATAATGCACAGAGCTAGGTATGTAGCGACCGGCGGCCGCGCCTCGAAAACCGAAATATGCCAAGAAAGAACGCGGAAAAGTCTGAATATGCGTTGGAAAATCAGCAAAGGCCGTCAACCTGCGCTCACAAAGGGAGAGAGAGATATTCTTCTGTGGAAAAATGCGGAAAGAAGGGAGGTATGCGCCCCGCGCGTTGTTCGTACGCAAGAAAAGAGGTATGAAAAATGTCCTGTTTTACATATTTTCAATACATGATGTAACACAAAAGAGCTCTTTTTCTCTTACACCACGATAAGTCGCCGTCGTGGGAAATCGGTTTAAGGCATAGAGAGAGAGGAGAAAGTAACGAGGGAAATTCGAGGAACATTTTTGCCTGATTAATTAGCGCACGAAGGACTTCAAGATGCGAGCGACATCGAGATGTGGACGCACCCACGATCAAAAGTGAGACACATGCACGCGCATGTGTCGCGAGCGCATACGTGTATGTGTCTGTTTATACGAGCTTGTGGGATCCATACGTTATATCGTTCACAACACAGCCCGCGGGGATTGTTCAATCAGGTAGTTGTACCAAAGGAGGTCGACCTCGAGGCTTGTCAATTAAATTAGTACAACTTGGCCAGTCTCGGGGAGTTTAGTCTCCCTCGTTCGTGCAACAGTCTCGCACGTTATCATTCGTGCGTTGAATTTGATGTCTCGATCTCTGTTTGTGTGCTGTAAACAAGCTAGTTTTGCGTGCTGGTTTCGAATGTTTGTCAGGAACTTTGAATCCCGGTGTTTACTGTGACCCAAATAAACCGAATATCGAACATCAAGGTAATTTAATTGTTCTTCGCGGTACGGAATCGCACGCACGCAGGCGATATATACGATTGGCATATATCGGCAAATGTACGCTGTTTACACTTATTATTTATACTACTGGTCACTCCAAAAGGAGTGCCCGGGTCAGGACTAGTCTTCTCCTCCTCAGAAATTACGAGAGAAA